CAGATGGATCTCTGTGAGTTCGAGGCCAGCCTGGTCTATAGAGCAAGTTTCGGAACAGGCTCCAAATCTAGGGAGAAACCCATCTCAAAATAAATAAATAAATAAGCAAATAAAAGTTAAAAGAGGAAGTAAGAAATGGAGGACACCAGTCAGCAGACCCAGAGAGATTCAAGTCCCCAAATACCCAAGAAAGGATAAGTCATGAATGAGGAACAAAAGAACAAAACCACAGAATATGGGAATTGTACACAAACTGTGTCCTTTGTCTGCTTGTTGTCCACATTAGTTGGCTTGGTGAAAGCCTCCTTAGAGTTCGAGTTCCTTTTCCGTCGTCCTGCTAGCACTTAGTAAACAGTCATCCAGGTTTGCATGGGAAGGGTAGCTGTTCCTTGCCCTTCTAGAGTTTAAACATAACCTTCCCTTCTTATTGAAACATATCAAGAACTTTCCTTTGACCAAAGGGTAAATACATTTGAAAGTCACTGAAAGTAATAAGCGTTCTTTCTTCTAGATAATAATAATAACAATGTTCTTAATCATTGCTTTAGACTTCTCTTTTAATTTTACACATTTGCATGTTTTTACTGTATTGTGTGTCTATGTATCATGCTTGCCTGTGACCAGAAAAGGGCACTGAGTCCCCTGGAACTGGGGTTACTGATGGTTGTAAACTAGCTGGGCATCACATCTGGGGTATGCTTCAAGAGCAACAATTGCCGTTACCTGCTGTGCCATCTCAGCAGCCCCTTAACAGCTGTGTTTTTATCATTTTTGATTATAAATATGCGTGTGTACATGTGATGTGTACATAGAAACCTAAGTGCCTGTGGAGGTCAAAGGCTCCAGATTCCCATGGAGGTCTAGTTATAGGTGACAACTATAAGTATAGGCGAGCCACCCTAGATAAGTGCTGGAAACCAAAGTCAAGTCCTCTGAAAGAGCAATAGTCGCTCCTAACTGCTCAGCCATTTCTCCAGTCTCCAGCTCCTTAATGTTATGAAACACAACCTGCTTTCCTAAAAGCAGGAAGAAAGAGAAAGAAAAAGACTCAAGCTTTAAAAACAAAAAGTAAAAGAAAGGCGGCCCAATTAAGAAGTGCCCGCTCTTCCCCACTTGCCTTCCCTAACTACCCCGGCTCTGTCTTCCTCTCTTCCTGACTGTTCCCTATCTGGCCCAGCAGAAGCCTTAGTTTCCTTGAACTCCCGCGACTCTACTTCCTGAGTCAGAGCTGTCCTTGGCAGGCACAGTTCGAACGCACGTGAGTCAAAAAGACAGACGCTTATAAAATGATGGTTTTCACTGATCTTGCCAGTGGGTTGGGCGTGGGAAGCCCGGTCACTAGCCATGTCTGATCTGGATGAATGGTCAGAGAGCAGCAGTGCCACCGTCCCAGCATGCACTTCTGTTTCAGCCAAGTAATCGCCCATGGTGGGCTATGTGGGATAGCGTAGGTGTGCAGTATCAGCATACAAAAAGCCATGTGTGTTTTAATCAGATTCTAAAAAAAGAACACAGGAGTCCAAATAGATCTTTTAAAAAACTAATTTACAATCAAGGTGTGGGGGGGTAGAGGGCAGTGTAAAAAGATAATTGTCACTGAGGAGGTATGATTTAACCCAACCCACGTGACACCAACGAAGCATAAAAGACAAACACACTGAAGAGCATCATCTCGGGTGCACTCGAAAGACTCCAGAGAAAGTGGGGGGCGGGTGCCTGAGGAGACTCCCAGGAGGAGGTGACATCCACTATCCCTGTGTTCTCCTCTCTGGTATCTTCCATCCAGGCATGTTAGTGTCGCGTACATGGAATAGCTATCTGTTCTCTTAAAATGCTAATCCTTCCGGTTATAAAGAAGAAATGGTGTTAGAAATCGTGTCTCCCCAACCTTCTCTGCAATGTCCTCCACGCTCCTTTGACGTGTGTTGATAAAGCCTTAGCCGTGTTTAAAAACATGATCCCGAGTGGAACTTAAATTCGGTCAATGCTCTCTCCTTCATCTGCTTGTCAACTGATCTTATCTTTTATGAGCAGTTGGTTTCTTTCACACATCCTTGTCTCTGGGTTTCACCATTTCCATGAAGTCACCATGGTGACCATGGGACATGCATGCTCGTTGCTCCTTTGCCTGAGGGGGAAAAAATTATTTCCTGCAATGCAAATAGGAAGAGAGCGCATGGACCCCACTGTTTGAAGAACTATCAGCACTTTGCATTCCCTGAGAGACTCCTCCCTGCCAGGAGCAGGCATCGGTTCATAGCTCAGGCTGAGAAAATGTAGCTTGCTTCACCTTTTGAAGAGGATCCCAAGGCATTGATGCATGCCTCTGAGGTAGTTCCTGTCTCCTCGCATTAATCAGGACCTGGTGGACTGTGCTGAGTTCACAGGAAATATGATCGTCTTATTTTCCCTCATTGCAAGGTGGAATGCATCTCATAACCTCTATAGTTCCAAAAATAAAAATAAGAACCGGTTGGGTTTTTAGAGTTAGGAAACACAGCTCCTTTGCCTTCCCTGTCTCAGCCAAAGTGGCTTCCTTAAAACTTCAGCAGGAACAAAAATTTACTTCACCCTGCGTTTAGAGACAAGCACAGGTTCAAATGGGATTCAGATAACTGTGAACGATTCTGCAAGTTTCTGTATCCAGAGACTGGTCTAACTGGCTACACTTTTAACAACTGACTGCTAAATTTATCATGTCGTTTTTATTCCATTTGGAGTATAAAGAGCACAGTGATACTAAGAATAAGCCATCCTGTAGCGTATAATGAAATGCCTTCAAACACTTGGGACTCACCTGACGGATTTAAACAAATCCTGATGTCCAGGCTTCAACCCAAGAGAGCCTGGTTGAGAGGCTGAGGTGGTTTGCATCTTGGCACGTTTTCAAAGTTCCCCAGGTGAGTCTGGTGTGCAGCCTAGCTAAAGGCCATTATTTTCAACCCTAACAAGTACCTGTACTGTGATAGTCTCCATTCCAACAGAGCGCTTCTGGACAGTTTCACCCCAATGCCCTCGTGTCCAAATGTGTCATAGCTAAAAGCTTGCTTTCCATAGTGCTGCTTTGCCCTGGGTGTCCTCCTGTATTCATGGGTTGTTTATAGGATATCAAAAGCCAGGCAGTTTCCAGTTGCTGACCACCACCCTAGATTAGGACCATACCTTAACCTCCACTCCTCTTCATAAAGCCTAAAAATGTCAGGGCAATCACCAGACTCCTCTATAACCTGGCCCTGGTTTCCCAGCCATATCTTGCTCTTTTTCTCCAGCAATAATGCTATCTACCTACCTTTCTTTCTTTCTTTTTCTTTTCTTTCTTTCTTTTTTCTTCTTCCTTCCTTCCTTTCTTTCTTTTTCCTTTTTTCCTTTCTTTTCTTTTTTCTTTCTTTCTTTTCTTTTTTTTTGAGGGGATTTTCTAGACAGGATTTCTCTGTGTAGCTCTGGCTGCCCCTGGAACTCGATCTGTAGACTAGGCTGGCCTAGAACTCACAGAGATATGCCTGCCTCTGCCTCCTGAGTGCTGGGAATTAAAGGCGTGCATCCCCACCATTCGGCCCCTTTATTAATTTTTTTTGGCTATTTACATTTTTAATCGCAAACTGTTTCTTAGAAATATTTTCATATTAAGAAAGAAATAACAGAACTGGGTATGGTGGTGCACGCCTTGAATCCCAGCACTCAAAAGGCAGAGTCAGTCAGTCAGATCTTTATGAGCTCAAGGCCAGCCTGGTCTACATAGAAAATTCCAGGAAGTCAGGTCTGTTACACAGAGATACCCTGTCTCAATAAGTCATAAGGGAAAGGGGGAAGAAAACGGAAGAAATAATAGAGAATATATTTGTAGGTTAAGGCTTATTTTGTATGAATGTGGTAGTGACTAAAGATAGCTCAGTGTCCAGTACAGAAACTTGGTGACCTTAGGCTTAATAAACAAACATCCCAGAACCTAACAGAAGAGCTAGAAGCCTGGGGCCCAGAGCTCAGGATTCAGTCACCTTTCTTTTGCTGTGCAACAGAAAATTGTCCATGCCCTTGAACTCACTTTGATAACAAACTCTACACTCAAAATAAATGAGCTAAATCATGTATCAGAATATACTTGGAGTGGCTGATTGGGTATGATGAGATCTGAGAAGCATATCAAATTCCCTGAACTACAGCTAGTTCAGAATATGTCTATTTAGCAATGTGGGTGTCAAAAGAAGCCGGCGCTAACAAGCATTGCTCCACGATGAAGAAACCCATCTCTTAGCTTAACATTTACTGCGTTTTCTGGGTGAAATGAATGACATTCTGTGATAAGCTTCATGACTAGGGCTGCCACTTACATTTCACAGCAGGGCTCTAATGTGTTTGAAGCTGTTGATTGAATGTTCAGGTTCTTATCATTTTTTTTTAATTTTATAGTTATTTTTTTAACTGAACTGGTATGCGTTCAAACTTGAAAAACTGAAAAACGGCATAGAACGAAACAAAAAATAGTTGTTATACCTCCAGTCAAGTCAATAAACTTAGCATTTTATTGTGATGCTTCATAAATGGATGGGTAGATGGATAGATGGGTAGATAAATAGATGTGGACAAACAATAGAATGATACATATAGGTGGATGGATGATTAATAGACATAAGATATTAGATAGATAGATAGATAGATAGATAGATAGATAGATAGATAGATAG